TTTTTCTAGCAGCCTTTGATCTGACATCTTATCAAATGCATTTTGAAAATCCAAATACACCACAACTACAGGTTCCCTTCCCTCCACTTGCTTGTAACTTGCTCAAAGAACCCCTAATAATTTGTCAAACATTATTTTCATTTCACAAACCATACTGGTTCTACCCAATTGAATTTTGACTTCTAAATGTCCTGTTATTACCTCCTCCATGAGTAAGAAATAGGCCATTCAGCACCTTAAATCTGCTACACCATTTCACAAGGTCATGGTTGATCTGATTGTAATCTCAAATCCTCATCTGCCTTAAAAATATTCAAAGAACCTGCTTCCATTGTCTTTTCAAGAAAAAAAAATTCTATCGCCTCAGGCCTCAATTTTTTTTTTTAAGAAGAACCTCATCTCCTCTAAGTGGATAACGACTTATTTTTAAAATCAGTGACCCAAGTTCTAGAATTTCCCATAACAAAAAACATCCTCTGTACACTTAGCCTGTCGACAACCTTCAGGATGTTAAATGTTTCAATCAAATCACCTTTTACTCTTCTAAACTCCAACCAATACAAGCCTGGCCTGTCTAATTTTTTCTCATAAGACTACCTCTCATTCCAGGTAGGACTCTGGTAAACATTCTTTGAACTGATTTTAACACTTACATCCCTTCTTAAATAAGATGACCAATACTGTACAAAATACAATAAATGTAGTCTCACCAGCACCCTGCATAACTGAAGCATACCCTCCTTACAAAACAGAAGTTGTTGGAAAAGCTCAGCAGTTCTGGTAGCATCTGTGAAGAAAATATCAAAGTTAATGTTTTGGGTTCAATGATCCTTCCTCAGAGCTTTAGGTTCACCCTGCATTAGAACACTCTGCATAACTGAAGCATACCCTCCTTACTTTAGGATTTAATTCAGTTCAGAATAATTTGTAACACTAGATTAGCTTTACGCATAACTTGCTGTATCTACATACTAACTTTTTATAATTCATGCATGAGAATACCCAGACCCCTTTGCATCTCAGAACTCTGCAATCTCTCACCATTTAGATATTGTGCTTCTTTATTCTTCCTGCCAAAAAGGACAACTTCACATTTTCTCACATTATACTCCATTTACATATTTGTCCATTCACTGAACATACTTATCTTTTTGAACATCCTTGTGTCCTTTTCACAAATTACTTTTCTACCTATCTTTGTGTCATCCAGCAAATTTGGGTAACATGCATTTCATTTCTTCATCCAAGTAATTTACGTAAATTACAAATAGTTGAGGACCCAGCACTGATCCTGTGGCACACCATTTATTATATCTTGTCAACCTGAAAAGACCCATTTATGACTATGTTCTGCTTCTTCTTATCCAACGAATCATCTATCCATGTGAACACAATATGTCCTAAACCATGAGCTTCTATTTCTGCAATAATCTTTGATACGGCACTTTATCAAATGCCTTATGGAAATCTATGTATAGTACATCAACCAGTTCCCATTCACTCATAGCATGTCACTTCTTCAAAGAAATCTAACAGATTCTATTAAACAAGACTGCCCTTTCACGAAGGCATGTTGACTTTATTGGATTACTTTGAACATATCTAAGTGCCCTGCTAAAAAAATTCTTTAATATAGCTTTCAACAATTGTTCTATGACAGTTGTTAAGCTAACTAGCCTGTAGTTTTCTACTTTCTGTCTTACCTCCGAAACAAAAGGAGATATATTTGCTATCTTCTAATCTATTGAAAGCTTACTTCAATCGAGGGAGCTTCGGAAATTTAGATTCAAAGCATCAACTATCTTACCCACTACATTTTTTTAAGACATAGGATGAAATCCATCAGGACCTAGGCCCTTATCAACCCACAATTCCAAGAATTTACGCAATAGCATTTCGCCGGTGATTTATAATTTCCCTGAGCTCCTCCCTCTTTTCCAAGTTCTGGGTAATAGCTGTTCCATTTCTTGTGTTTTCCTAATGACAGACTAACAGGCCTTTAAAGAATCGGAGGAATTTTGGAACCAATGTATCTACTATTTAAAACCCTAGCAAGAAAGCCATCAAGTACAAGGGGCTTTTTAACCATTTGATCCAACAGTTTTCCCAGTACATTCTTCCAAGTGATCAAGATTGTTCTAAATTCCTTCCTCCCATTTACTTCTCATTTTTCAAATAGTCTAGGGATATTTTTGATATCTTCCACAGTGGAGAGAGACAAAATACTTGTTCAGTGCTCCTGCCATGACCATGTTTTCCATTCTTAATTTCCCAGTCTTTAAAGAACCAACACAATTCTTTTCCTTTATAAAGTAGAAATACAAGTTTATTAAGATATGTTAGTTAGCTTTCTCTCATACCCTAATTTCTCACTTTCTTTTGTTATTCTATGTTGTTTTCTAAACTCTGTTCAATCTTCTGACCTACCACACACTTTGCAGAATTATTTGCTTTTTCTTTCTATTTTAATAGCATCTCTAATTTTCTTATTTAGCCACAAATGGTGCATCCTTTTCATTGAATCGTTCTTTCTCAATAAAATCTGTATTAGAGGTTTGAAATATCTCCTTAAACATCAGCTACTTTTTCTCTACTGTCCTTTTAACTTACTTTCTCAGTTTCCTTTAGCCAACCCATATCCTTTTAATTGTCTTTAAGTTTAGACACTGGTCTTAGACTCACACTTCTCACATTTAAACTGACTGTAAAATTCTACCACATTATGATTACTTACCTAGAAGATTCTTTATTACGAGGCCATTTCTACAAGTTATGCTCCAAGAACTAGCTAAGGTTTCTTTGATAGCATATTGCATATCTGTAAGTGCAAATGTCAAGAAGAACAAGGGAGCAGGCGCAAGCAAATACCATCACCTAAGTGTTTTCCTCCAAATGACTCGCCATCCTGACTTGAAAATATATTGTTTCTTCACTGTCCAAATCTTGAAATTACCTCTTCCCTAGACATTCTACACCATGTGGACTACAGCACTTCAAGAACAAGGCTCATCACCACCTTCTCAAGGGTGGTTAGGGATCTACAATTTATTGGCTTTCTGAGAGAAGAAATTCCTCTTGCCTGTCTTAAATAAGAACCCCTTTCTTCGAGATTACGCCCTTTGGTCCAAGTCTCACCCACAATGGTAAATAGCTTTCCCATGTGTCCATAAAATATTGTTACTTCTTTTTGTGGTTGTGATACTTGGGTTCATTTTAAGTCTGACCAGGAACAACTGAGCCCTAAAAGCCACAAACTGAATGAGATCTGATTAAAGGTTCACTGGATGATCTGGGTATGTTGGGATTTTCTTACAAGCGGAGGTTGAGTAGGTTGGACTTGTATTCATTAGGGTTAAGAAGAATGAGAGAAAACTTTACTCAAACATAGGAGATTCTGGGTAAATGTGGAGAAGATGTTTACCCTTGTGGGAGAGACTGCAACGAGAGGGCATAATCTCAAAGAAAGGCATTACCTATTTAAGACAGGTGAGGACAAATTTCTTCTCTCAGAAGGGTACTGAATTTGTGGAATTCATTCCCGCAGAGAGCTGCGCCAGTTGGGTCATTAAGTGCAATCAAGAATCAGACAGACAGACAGACTTTTAACCTGTAAGGGAATCAAGGGTTATGGAGAAATGGCAGAAAAATAGGGCTAAAAAAATCATGTCAACCATGAACACACTGAACAGTGGGACGAACTTGATGGGGTGAACTGCCTAATTCTGCTAATTTAATGGTCATATCTTACTGTAGCCTCTTCTCATCATTGAAACTGTTGTCAGAATAGCATGCCTAACTCTGAACAAAACAAATGCAAAACTCCTGTGGCAAAGGAATAACAACAAAAGGTAACAACTTGGACAATGAATTTGACGTGACAAAGTCAGTCAGGTCAGGGACAAGTAAAGACTAAGCAAGCAGAAACAGTGAGAAACAATGGAACAAACCTTGTTAGCAGTACATTACTAGAGGTTTGACAGTCTACTGTAACTTATTGGTTTATGGCAACCACAATAGTTTTGCTTGTTTTGTGTACAAACAAGCCCTCTAATTAATATCAATGTTCCTTTCAACATCTTTTCACTCTGAATAACACAGTTAAGAGGGTAAAACGGACTGCAGCTGAATTGCATGACAAATATCTATGTAGATAATGTTCTGTGATAACTACAAGTCTGAAAGGAAATGCACCATTTCTACATTACAATACAATTCTAAATAAACATCTTGTACCTTTTCTTCAAATTCTGCTACAGCTTCTTAAATAAAATATGATCAAGTTATGATTGAACAAGAATGCGTCAAAAATAATATATTATGTTGAGAACTATTAAGACCCATTTAGATATTATAGTTGTTACAGAATGCTATTTCAAATTATAAATGTTAGTTTAAAAATTTCATCTCTACCAGTAGCATATAAAAAGTCTACATGAATGCATCTCCTGAACTTTGTTTTATCTAAATGTCAAAGCATGGTAAATAGATAGTTTGTCAAATTTAGTACTAATTCATGGAAATTCCGCTTTATCAACAATTGTTTTTCAGTGCAGAGCAGTAAAGACACTTCCAAACCTGGAGGCAGAAAATTAAACCAAAGAGAGTTTACTGTTTTATAAGTGACTTCTCTCCTATGCTACCGTGCTGCAAAATTTGAAACAGCACACATTTTAGCTTAGCCCCGAGATATTCTTTTTAAGTTCATTGTTCAAACATTTGTTTTATCTTTCCCACCAAATATTTAACACAGTTCACCGCTGGGTCCAGAAGATGAATGTAATTGTTGAGATTTTGTCCTGAAGACAGTCTGGAGCCAGAAATATTATAGCAATGCTTTGTCAGATCTTCTAATCACAAGTAAATATAAAAGGAGCTTTACAGAGCCTTCCAAATTTGGCCCTTTATTACAACAGCCTGCACCTTTGCTGATCCATACTGGTCTGACTGGATCCTATTACAATGGCCTAGGTCAGAAAACAGCACTGAGACATGTCACTCACCTCCAGCAATTGAGCCCAGAGTGAACCTGTACGCAGACTCAACAGCCTGGAGCCATATAGGCCTGCTAGTATCACTGTAAGATTGCTAGAGGGAGCAAAAAACAAAAAAGGTTGGATGTGGGGAAAGGAATGTTACTGTTAGCTTAACACTGTGGTTATACTGGTAACACAATGTTATAAACTAGCAAATATGGAAAATTGGAATTAGCTGAAATTTAAGTAATGACTAATCCTTGGAATAACTTGAAAATAATTTCATTAAAATTGCACCAATCATCTTGAACAGTTTGCTTCATACAATTTAAAACTTTTAAGATTAGTATTCAGCTGAGCACAATTTTAAAAATCCTTCAATACTAATTGCGCTACCATTTGTTAAAATAATATTTTCACATGGAAATTTCTTTAATAAATAAAACACAAATCAGCATGCAATTTTGGAATCAGATACAGCATGGCAATAAACACTAAACTTTCAAAAACTTTAGTTATAGGTTATAAACACAGTAGTTGCAATTTATACTGATACAATTAGTGGTTCATTCAGCTAATTTGTGTAATAGATTCATTCCTATCAGTTTTTAAACTGCTTTACTACTTTTTCAAATTTTCACGCCATAGAAATTTTGGAGAGACTTCAGAACCTATCATCAGTTTGATCATTAAAATAAAGGATTGCGTCTTGATGACATGATGCTATTGCAAATATGTAGTGCCTCGCATGGCATTCTTTTGTTTCATGGCAAACCTCAGAAACTGCACCAGTTGTTTGACCTGAAGTTGAATCAAAAGTAACTTCTGGTATTTCATAAATGTCTTAAGACACTTGAAAGTGCAAAAAAAATTACATTCATTATAAATGTAATGTTTTATAAAAATTATGGTGTTTTGGCACTGTGTCTTTAACTTCTGGTAAGAATGGAGAAATAAAATACTTATGTGACCTGTTCTGAATTCTGCTGAATGAACAGAAAGGCGGCCCAGTTTATTTAACTAGGAAGAAGATGCAAGATGTTCGTGCCTGTAGACAATGGCAAAAGTACTTGTATGAACAGAGGACAGACAATTTGTCTCCAAAATCCCAGAAATATGTTAGGTTTTGTACAGTTATACCAATTTAGTTTCAGGACAGAACATAGTCAGTCAGTCAATCTAAATCACAGCTAATCGCATTTCCATCTGGATACGAGTTGGATGGCACAGTGGCTCAGTGGTTAGCACCAGGGATTCAATTCTAACCTTGGGTGACCTTGTGTGTGGAGTTTGCATGTTTGCCCCGTGTCTGCGTGGATTTCATCTGGATACTCCAGTTTCTTCTCAAAGTCCAAAGATGTGCAGGTTGGATGGATTGGCTATGCTAAATTGTCTGCAGTGTGGAGGTTAGGTAGGTTAGCCAAGGTAAATGCAGGGTTACGGGGACAGGGTGGGACGCAGGGTCTGGGTGGAATACTCCTCAGAAGGGCTGAACGGTCTCTTTCCACACTGTAGCGATCCTATGATTCGCGGTGCCACAGAGATGGCCTTTAGAGGGGTAAAGTCCACAGGAAGCCATGGTAGGATCACTTACAGGGAGATTTCTTAAAATATCACGGAATCTCACAGTACATTTCAATCTACTTGCAAACAATGTTTTTCACTGTACACAAGGCAATAAATCAAATCAAACGTGGTGGGGTGAGGAACACAAGAGATAAAAGGCAACAAGTCTTCATGGCATGCCGTGCACCAACACAGCTGAGAGTGTGCACTCAGAGTGAAGAGGTCAAGTTTGCAAGAATTTAAAACGCGAATGTAAGATTCACATGATTTTGGCTAGAGGGAGGAATCTCCATGGCAACCCACATAACAGCCAGTTAGGGAATTAGAAATCGCCCAATGAGTAAAGGAAAAGAAAGCAAGCAAGTGTTCAGAAGCTAAGAATTACTTTGGATTGATTCTGGAAAACTGTGTGTCTACTTGAGGGGCAGAGGAAAGTGTAAACAGGAGGGAGATTTTAATAATGTTAAAGCATTAACAAGTGAGTTTGCTATCATTGACAGTACTTGTTGCCCACAAAATAGCGTTTAGTTCAAGTTACTTTCATCTGCTTGTTACAATAACAGGTTTAAGATTTTTCATACAACTGTTTTAAGTTGGCCATTGGGATTTTTATATTCTTCTTGAAGTTATCAGTCAATTTTGCAAGAAAAACAAGTAACGCAACAAAAGGGCAAAAAAATAAAATGGTGAATGCAAAAAGCAGGATTAATTTCTCTTTTTCTTAAAGTGTGCATTAGCCAGTTAGCTCAAATGTCTCTGCAGATAACTTGTGCTTAAATAGAGTGCCAACAGCACAGGTTTGATTCTTGTTCTGGTTGTGGTAGGCCTGAGATGTGTCCCTTCACCCTGCCAGAGTGTTGGAAGCAATGCCAAGCCTCTGCTGGCAAAAGCTGTCAAGAAAATGGCTCAGGATGAAACATCAGTAGTCAATGAATCAAGGAACTGCTTTGGAGTATATCGTGGGACAAATCATTTATTTTATCCCATTGTGCTCAGAACATTTTTATAGTACAACCAGACATTGCACTGATGTTTAAAAATCAAACTTCAAATAGTGTGTTCCCTGCATACCGCGTAGAAACATAACTATATATAGTTCCTTCAGAAAAGATCTGTTCGCAAACAATTTCTAGTCTAAGTGCAGAATATAGTACATCATTGGGAGTGGCATTGCCAACTACTTGCCCCATGTTCAGAGCCATCAGCTTCCAGGGATCCAATTTCTGTCAAACCCTCCCTCAACCTTTCCACTTCATCCTCGCTCTTTTTAAGACATTCCTTAAAAACTGCCTTAATATCACTTTTGTGACTCAGTCTCAAATTTTATTGGATAACCTTCCGGTGAAATGCTTTGGGGATGCTTTATTACATTAAAGTCATATGTAAATGACAAGGCATGCACATTTGCATTCATTCACAGCACTTTATAGTAGGACAGATTTAATAAGTGGTTAGGATTTGGTACTTTCACAGCCGCTGTGCAGGTTTGATTCCCAGTGAAGGAATTTTTGAGCAGCGTGTTGGCCGAGTAGTTAGCACTGCTGCCTTACAGAGCCATTTGAAAGTACGGTTTGAGAAAGCTGGCAAATTACACTTCTCCAGCTTTCCAGAGCCAGGTGATTAGGCTAAACTGCGACAGAATTGGAAACTGCCAAATCCTAATTTCTAATTCTGTCAAAGTGGTCACTGCATTCACTAAGCAGAATATGCAAGACCAGTAACAGAATATTGAGACTTGTTCGACATAACACCAGTGAAGACAACAATACATGCAAGATGGATGAACCAATTTGCTACCAATCTTCATTTCAATAAATTATATTTGCATAGCACATCTTCAGAGGACATTGAGATTCAGCTCAAGATAAAACAAACACAACAATAATGTTCTCAACTTGCTACACTTCTGGTCATTTACATCAGCTAAAAACATTGTGGCAAAATGCAATTAAACACCCCACTTTTTCACACATTTTTGTTGGTAGCATTGCGAGTGCTTGTCGCAGATAGCGGAGACTAAGTACTGCTGCTTTGCCTGGCCATTTGGATGAGTTCTCGGTAAAACAAATATGTCTGCACTTAACCAGCTTGCAACAATTCAATCAAATACAATACTTTGCTCACCATTAAATGGCCTACTTCTCCTTCCCCAAAATAAACTGTTTTCTTCTTTGAGCATTCTTCTGCCCTAGACAGAAAATCTTGATTCCCTGAAGCTAGATAACCTCCCACTTTAATGGACCAATTTGTTGTTCTAAACCAGCCCATTAACAACAACTTGCATTTAAGTAGCACAATTGTAGAAAAACATTCCAAGTAAGATACAGACATCTGTTATCTCTTTCACTGACTAATATTTCCCCTCTTCTCTCCCAGTTCATCCTCCACCCTCTTGATTGTATTCTCTTAAGGACTGATCAAATTCATCCTTATGGGGCAGGAAGACAGTCCAAATGACACAGGAAGTCTGACACCTTTGCCATCAGACCATCTTAACAAACAGGAAGAAAACCCACACTTAGGCCAAATAAGGACCATTTCCCACTTTCGTGGGGGAATGACCAAGTGAAAACTGGTGATCTCAAAGGGTCTGCAGTCTCCAGCAGTGGGGAGCTCTTTTTAGGGCATTCATTGCCGTGTTACGGTGCCCATTGGAAGCAGTGGCTGGCCATGTAAGAACAACACATTCATCAAGACTATCACATCTCAAGGCCTGAATCACCACCTTTATTTGCCCCTTTCTGAGGATACCAGTCATCAATGCACCCTCACTGTGCAGCTTGAGCCTGAGCACTGGCCACTGCTTGCTGTAATGTGACTAATATTGTTGGTCCTCTGAGCAAGGCAAGTATCTTCTGGGTAAGGCCATCATCTTTGACAGGGCTGGCAGCTCAGGGTCCCACTACCTACCAAAACAAAGTCAATTCCTGCAACAGTCCTGACAAGATTTCTGTCACTTCAGAAAATTTCTGGTTGATATCTCTTTGTGCAATGCAGCTGGTAATTAGCTTGGTTTGTCCCTAAAACATCCATCCAGTGCAATATTGTATGGGATACTCCATTTATTTGCATAAAGCATGTCAAAATGCCTTCTCCAAACTGCCAAACTAAACTATACCCTGATATTTCAAAGTGATTAACCATACATAGCATTTTTAAAGCAGGTCTTTAGTAAATGCAAGTTGATAGCTTTAAAGAAGCACAAATAAAAGCATCACAATACAACTATGCTTTCATAACTTTAATTTTCCTTATCAATATTGCTCAGCATCTGTATTGGAGAGTTATATTTGCCTATGAGACCATAAAACATAAGAGTCCACTACTTTCCCTTTACTTTTGCTGTTACTTTCCTCAAAGAATTTTAATAAATTTGGCAGGCACGATTTTTTCTCTCATACCTGCCTCTGGACTTCAGCCAGGTTGTATGGTAGAGCTCCTTCCTCCAGTGGTGCTATTCGTTCAATATCTGCCAGAGTGACTCGCCTGGGCAAAACAGAGAGAAGCAGCTCATTAGAAGTATAATGCATAAAACATTCAACTTGTCTTGTCCAAAATTTTCTCACAATATTCCAAGATGTCTGAAGTGAGCTGAGAAAATATGTAAGGTGAAAATCAGTGGGTGAGCAGTGGCAGACATTAATTTCATAATGCTCAGCAAAAATATGCAGAGATCTAGGTATCCAAGTCCAGTTAGTGGACAGATACAACAATCATTCAGGAAAGCTAAAAGAATGTTTTGTTTGATTATAAAGGGAATTGAATGCAAGATTAGAGGTTATGTTTCAGTGCCAATACAGGCATTATTAACATCAAACCTGGAGTAGATCATAGAATCCCTACAGTGTGGAAACAGGCCCTTCGGCCCAACAAGTCAATACTGATCTTTAGAGCATCCCACCCAGACCCATCACCCTTAACCCACTTAATCTACACATCCCTGAACACTATGGGCAATTTAGTATGGCCAATCCATACTAAACACTGTGTGCAGTGCTGGTCACCATACTTACGAAGGATCTTAATGCACTGGGAGCAGCTCAGAGAAGGTTTACTAGACTAATATCTCAAACGAGTGGATCATCTCATGAGGAAAGGCCAGACAAGTTAAGCCAGTAACTTCCAACAGTTCAGAGATGTCAGAGGTGACTTTATTGAAATAAACAAGTTCCTGGGGGGATATGATGAGGTAGGTGAGGAAAGGCTGGCTCCTCTTGTGGGTGAATCTAGAAAGGTTATAGTTTGAAAATAAGTGATCGCAATTTAGGATGGAGATAAGGAAAATTTTCTCAGTGGGTTGGGTCTTTGGAATTTTCTTCTTCAAAAGACAGTAGTTGCAGAATCTTTAAATATTTTTAATGCAAAAGGTAGATATATTCTTGATTTCCAAGGTGATCAGAGATTATCAGGGCTATGTAGGAATATAAGTTTGAGTTAAAATCAGACCAGTTATGACCTTCTTGTATGTTGGAGCAGGTTCAAAGGGCAGAGTTCTTTGTCGGCATGTTTGTCAAAATTTATACCAGTCCAAACGAATGAATCAATGAGAAGGATGAACCATGTGGTTAACAAAGGCAGTCATGGAGAGTATCCAATCAAAAACAAGACACACAAAGTCGTGAAAACTAGTGGTAGGCCAGAGGACTGGGAATTATTTTTAAGAACTAGCAGATGACTAAAATCTAATTAAAGAGGGAGAAAATTGATTATGAAAAAACATTGAGAAGAATTTAAAAATAAGCAAGACCTTGTAGCAGACCTTGTTGTAAACTAAAGAGAAAAAATAGCCAAAGTGAGTGCAGGCCCCTTGGAGGATGCAAATTGAGAATTGATAACAGGGAAATAGCAGATAATTTAAATCAATATTTTGCATTGGACCTCATGGTGGGGGCACTATAAATATCCCAATAATAACAGACAAGGTAGGTACTATTGGGAAGAAAGGTCTTGTCACAGTCACAGTTGTGAGGGACAAAAAAAATGTAACTGATCATCTAACAGGACTAAAAGGTAGACAAGTCTCAAGGACCTGATGGTCTGCTTCCAAGTGTTTTAAAAGGAAGTGGTTTCAGAGATATTGGTCAAAATTTTTCAGAACTCACTAGATTCCTATGGATTAAAAAGCTACTAATGTGATGCCCATGTTCAAGATGGGAATTACAATCCAGTTAACCTAACAGCCGTCTCTGGGAAAATGCTAGATAACATTTTTACGGAAGAAATAGCAGGGCATTTAGAAAAGCTTAACATGATCAAACAGAGTCAGCATGGTTTTGTGAAAGGAAATTTGTGTTCAACAAACTCAATAAAGTACTTAGAATAGAAACACTCAACAGAGGGGACCCATTTTCTCTCTTTCACAACTTCATTTATACTCTGAGATAACAAGGTGTAGAGCTGGATGAACACAGCAGGCCAAGCAGCATCACAGCAGCAGGAAAGCTAACGCTTCGGGTCTAGACCCTTCTTCAGAAATGGGGGAGGGGAAGGGGATTCTGAAATAAATAGGGAGAGGCGGATAGAAGATGGATAAAGGAGAAGATAGGTGGAGAGGAGGGGGTGGAGCCAGTAAAGGTGAGTTTAGGTGGGGAGTTAGGGAAAGATAGGTCAGTCCAGGGAGGACGGACAGGTCAAGGGGGCGGGATGAGGTTAGTAGGTAGGAGATGGGGGTGGGGCTTGAGGTGGGAAGAGTGGTTAGGGAGGCGGGGACAAGCTGGGCTGGTTCTGGGATGCGGTCACGGGAGGGGAGGTTTTGAAGCTTGTGAAGTCCACACTGATACCATTGGGCTGCAGGGTTCCCACGCGAAATATCAGATACTGTTCCTGCAACCTTCGGGTGGCATCGTTGTGGCCTGCTGTGTTCATCCAGCTCTACACCTTGTTATCTCAGATTCTCCAGCATCGGCAGTTCCTACTATCTCTCTTACCAATTCATTTATAGTCTGTTCTTTTCTCTTCATTATAATTAGCAACCGTGTGCACAAAACAAAAATGTTAGCTTGTAATTACAGCAAGTAATTAAAGAAGGCAATAGGAATTTTGGCCTTTATTGCTAGGAAGTTGAAGCTCAAACAGGAAAGACATGTTACATCTGTACAGGGGGAGTGGAGACATTACATCTGGAAAACTTTGTGGAATTCTCGTCTCTGTACTTTTAAAAGAAATTATGCTAGACTTGGGAGGCTGTTCACTAAAGATTCACAAGGCTGATTCCTGGGATGACAGGATTGACTTATCAAGACCAGTGAAATAGGTTATGTCATTATGCAGCAGAGTTTGGAAAAATGATGGGTGATCTTCTTAAAACTTGCAAGATTCTTAAGTGGCTTGACAGGGTAATGTTGAGATGATGTTTTCACTGATAGAGGTGCTCAAACTACGGAACAGAGTTAAAAATTACAGGGACACTTAAAACTGATGAAGAATTTTCTTCCTCCCCAGCGGGTATTAAATGGATGGAGGCTAGATCGCTGGAAGGATTTGAAGAGGAGATAGATTTTTTTCAAATTCAGAGAGTTAACAGCTACGTTGAGCCAGCACAAAAGATGAGTTGGGGCTGAGGGCAGACCAGCCATGTTCTTGTTGAATGGTGGGTCACGCTGGTGAGTTGAATTGTCTACTCTTGCTCCTATTTCATATGTACATATATTCTAACATTGAAATCAAAATCCTAATTTAAGACTGCTAATATTTCAATATGATAATAAGAGTAAATAGAATTAATTTTAATTGACAACACTATTAACTGGCAAAATTTATGATTGAATTGTTTGCTACAGACCGGACTTTCGTTAAACATGAATACAAAGCAGTTAATTGTAACAGGTTAGATTTTGCCAGTTAGATTTGATTAAGAAAGCATTATTTATAAATTTGTGATAGATCTTTGCACTGTTGTCATTTCTTTTCAAATACTGAATAGTTACAGTATTGGAGGCTATGTGGCAAAAACAACCCAGTAGGCCCATAGTCCTGCCTTTCCCAGTGTTCCCGCAAATATTTATCTTTTGTGTGTACCTCCAAGTTCCATGCACGGCAGCAACTTCCAGAACCGGAAGTCAATGCTGCAAAAGGCACTGGCATGTCAATTACTGGACACGTATTCTTGGAGTGGCTGTGCACGCATGCAGCCTATAGAATACGTTATTCCCCATAGCCTTAAAAATGTCCTTTCTAGGCAATTATCCTTTTGAAAGTCACAACTGAATTAGTCTCCAACACCTTCAAGGACAACTAGGGATCAACAGAAAAAAATGCCAGGCCCAAGCTGTGTGGAAAGCCTTTCTGAATTGTTTATTTTATGGCAAATAATTTAATCTGTGCCCCTTTTTTCCCTCAACCATTCCACCAAGGAAAGCTGTTTCCATCCAGACCAGTAATGATGTGGAATATCTCCATTAAATCTCTAAATATTCTTTCGAGAAGAATTGTCCCAGCTTCTCTAATCTATTCGTGCAGCTGGAATAATTGCCAAAAAGAGACGAAGTCGAAGTTTTTTTTTAAACCTCCAGATGGAGTATAGTTAAACAGAGTAAGCTGGAGTTGCTGAGTGAGGGAATTGGGGGAAGGAGATGCTCCTTCCTTTCTTTTTCACGCTTTTCAGCCTCCAGTATTTTATTATTATTTTTGTTCAGAGGAAGAGATTCATTGGCGAGTAACTAGTAAGCTGTTTTACTTATTTCTGTAATGAATAGTTTGCTTAGCTCAAGTATGTCAAAACAGCTCAGCCAAGTAAAATGTGCATCCTGTAGAATGTGGGAGACAATGGATATGTCACAATTACTTGACAAACAATTTCAGGAAATGGCAACACATACTGAAGCTTCAGCTTGTTTTTGCATGAGAGCAGCAGTTGGAGTCATTTTAGTGCATTCACAAAACAGAGAACAACAAAGATAGCATGTTCAGGGAGATGGGCGTACTGCAGATTAGGAATCTGCATACAGAAAAGCAATGGGCAGCTGCCTTACTGTTCGAGACAAACATGCAGGTAATGCAGATATCCAAAAAGTCAATCTTTCTTGCTTATCTTAGTCATTCTGGAGAATGTGAACCTTCGGAATTCTATCACCAGCGAGCTATGGAGGCTTAAATATTAAGAATATTCATGTCTGACACAGACTTCTACACAATAGCTTCTAGCAAGTGCAAAGGAATCATTCTGCTAGTCCAAATAATAATCTTAAATTGGTTTCCAAAGCAATTTTTGGCATAGTCAGGACTATTTAGTTGACGTTGTCCAACAGCAGAATCACAGTTAATGCTGGCCACTGTCTTGACCAATCAAAGTTGACGTGCCTGACTTAAATTTACTCAATTAATTGACGGCTCCTGTTGCATCATTATGTCAACGATAGTATAATCAATCAATGCTGTCTCACACTGTCTAAACTGTTGCTTACTTTTTAAAGTTGTTTCTCGTGCTTCAATCCTAATGATTACAAAATAGAAAGCTCAACTTCAGGTCCTAATTTAACAATGTTTAATTTTGTATTTCCAAGTAATTATTCATGACCAAAACCCCTCATCTCTTGCAATAATCATTCAAGTATTTTCTGCATCCTCTCTGATGCCTTCATATCCTTCAGAAAGCATGGTGCCCAGAATTGAACACAACTCTCCAGTCAAGATCAAATCAGAACTGTTCAATAGCTGGACCATAATCTGCTTGCTTTTATACTCAACGCCTCAGTTTATAAAGCCCAGCATCCTGTATGCCTGATTAAACACGTGCCCAACCTGCCACAGCACCTTCAATGATTTGTGTACATAAGCCCCAAGTTTCTCTTCTGCAGCCATTAAGAACTGCCTTCTTTGATATTGGTTTCAGCTGATATCCCTACCAAAGTGTCTCACTTCACAATGGTCTGCATTAATTTTCATCTCCTGTGCTCAACCATTTTATCAGCCTGTCTATATTTTCTTGAATTCTATCAATATCCTCAATTCTCATTACTTAAAAATGTTATGATGTGAAGGTGCTGGTGTTGGACTGGGGTGGACAAGGTCAGAAGTCACACGACACCAGATTTTGTCCAACAGGTTTATTTGAAATCACAAGCTTTTGAAATGCTGCTCCTTCACGCTCCGAAAGCTTGTGATTTCAAATAAACCTCTTGAACTATAACCTGGTGTCCTGTGACTTCTGACTTTAAAAATGTTATGACAGCTGCAAAGTTTGAAATTGTGCCCTGCACATCCAGTTAAAGTCTTAAATAGGCAAGGAAAGCAATAATCCTGATACTAACCTTTAGGGGAGTGCACCAATACTTTCTCTAGTCTGAAAGACAACCATTCAACAATCTCATCCCGAAACAAGATCTTACTCAGCCAACTGTTTAATTGTGTGCCCCATCCCTGTTTTACTACAATTCATTTAAGACATGTGGAAACCACCGAATAGACCAGTACTTATTGCCCAGCCTTAACTGCCATGAAGGTGGTGGTGAGCTGCTTTTATTTCAGGTTTTTGATGACAACACTTTGTGGCACTTTATCAAATTCCTTTTGGAGATCCACATTCAACTACATTATCCTCATCAACCCTTTGTAACCCCATCGAAAAACTGATTCAAGTTAAACACAATTTAACAAATCAATGCTGGCTTTCCTCATTTAATCTGCATTTATCCAAGTGCAAGTTAATTTTGTCCCAGATTGTTGCTAGAAGCTTTTCCACCATCAAAGATCAAACTTACTGGCTTGTAGTTGGTGACCTTATCCTTATAGCCTTATTTAAGCAATGGTGTAATATTTGCAATTCCCCTTCCTTCTAAAATGAGGAGTATTAGAATATTATTGTCCAGTATTTCCACAACTTCCATCCTTCCTAATGTATTAGATGGTACTCATGATCTGGATCTGTTAACTTTCAATTTGAAGTCCAACCTACCTTTCTGATACCTCTTCCCCTTCAACAACTTAAGATCAAAGTGCTTCAAATACTTCCTTTTTCAATGTTGCCTTGATATCATCATCTTTGTAAATACATAAGTGAGGCATTTATTTAGTATCACAGCCATGTGCAAATTGCCACTCGGGTCTCTATTGAGCCCGCTCCCTCTTTTACTAAGGTTATAACATTTACGTTAATAGAATACATTGAAATGCTTATAGAATATTTCTGTTCTTTTACAGCAGCTGCCATGGTTCTTCTCATGATCTCTTTGCTGTCTTTATTTCCTTTCTCAGCACCTTCCGAAATTTTTTATATTCAACCTCATTCTCAGTTGTATTACCAACTTGTCATCTGGCATCAGCATTCTCTTTCTGCTTCAATGTAATCTCCATCTCTTCGATCAACTAGGAGTTCTCGCTTTGATCGCCCTACCTTTTTCATGTGGAAACGTACCTAGATGGCGTGGAAACCATCTCTCATTAAAGGTAGACCACTGTCCCGTTATATTTTTGCCTGCTAGTCTTTCATTCGAATTAATCTAGCCAAACCCAAGAAAAATAACCCTGCCCCAATTAAATATTTTTAATCTTGAATGTTCCTTCTCCTTGTCCATACATAACCCAAACCTGGTGATATAATGTTCACTGTCCCCTAAATGTTAACCTTTTGACATGAGATCTGTGTCATTAACCTTACCCTCCAGAACCAGGTCTACTAATGTCTCCTTTCTCATTGGGCCAATTGATATTGATACAGAAAATTCAACCGAACACAATTCCTGAACTCTCCTCACTCTGTGTAGTAACGGAGTTCATCTTTATCCGATTTCTAGCTCCTACAGTTCTCAACAACTTTCCTTCAAATTCACTTTTCCTCATCGTTCCCAGAATACATCCAATATTTTAAATGGTAGCTCAATTGTTCCTTAGCTTTAACTAATCAGATTTGTGTTCTGGAGGGTTCAGAACAAGGAGTCCCTCCAACACGCAAAATTCCAGTTTTCAATTTAGCCATTTATCCTCGTTTTGCTCCTTCGAGTCTCTCCTGAACACGTTGTATCCTTTGTTGATTCAGGGCTCATTATCTCCATAACACTCATTCACACATGGCAATTTGATCCTACAAATCACTTACTGCACTCAATATACTTATGTACATACACCATGAACCTAATTTAGATCTCACTGCATTCTCTCTTACTAGTTCTTACTCAAGTATCATCTGTCTCTCCCAAATCATTGTGCATCTTAATTTTCTTTTCCTCCCTGCTTTCCTAATCCTTGCTGACATGGTTTAAAAAGCAGCAAATCACCCCATCAGGGACTCCATGTGCAGATTCCCTTTTCCCTAGAATGAATCTGAATGCTCTTTGCTGCACCATCCCTCCAAACATGCATTAAAAGTGCTATACCCTCCTATACCTCTATTTAATAGCACATAGTACTAGCATTAAGCTGGAGACCAACAGCCTTGGGATTGAGCTTACTAGTTAGCTCCCTAAAATCTCTCTGCAGCGCTCATTTTTCTTTTTACCCATCATGTTGGCACCAATATGACCCATGACTATTGGTTGCGCACCCTCTAACTCTGTGCTCCCAACCACAGAACACTTTGCAGTTACTCGGTGACATCCTTGATTATAGCATCAGGGAGGCAATATACCATCCTGGATTCATGTCTGCAGTACAAAATTCCCTACTTGTTTCCTCAAACTATAGAATCGCCAATGATTAATACTTTCTCCAAACTTCCTCCTGCTTTTTGTACAGCTGACTCAGATGTGGTGCCATTCACTTAGTGCGTCTGGGTAGTGCAATGAAAGCCATTACTCTCACCAGTGTTGAGAACTCAAAATCAATTGGCAAATGAGATGTGCTCAGGAGACTCCTGCCTCTCTGGCACTCTTCAACTAACTGGCAGTTACTCATTCCCCCTCTGTTGCACACTCAAACTGTGGGGTGATCAAATCCAGAAACAAGCTATTCACAGACTTGTAGACTCAAAATGATAGGAGTTCCTACTCGAATTCTGTAACTGGGAGCTCAAGTTCCTGCAGCTGAAGATATTTCCTGCATGTGTGGTTGCATAGCACACAAGTAGCTTCATGTGGTACCCAATAGACAAGATGTGCATTGAAAATGACCAAGGTGTCCTGTCATGTCATTATCAGGATAATTCACTTAACAGATATACTGGATCAAAATCCTGGAATGCCCTCCCTAAATGGCATTATGGGTCTATATATAGCAAATGGATTGCAGCTGACCATCACCTTTGCAAGGGCAACTAGAATAAATGCTGGCCAGCCAGCAATGCCATGAGAAAATGAAAAAGAAACTTAAGACTTGAATAAATCATCATCAGCTACCCGCCAATCAGTTGCCTCTCTATACGGGCATCACCTCATTTTATAAAGAAGATTCATTTAAACAAAACTCGAGGCTTATTTAGGTCTTGAGCCTACCCTAATGTTCCAAATTTAAAACTACCAAACAAAAATCTATTCACACTTAACTAAAGCACATCTACATCTCCCACTCTATACTTCACATGAACTGAAAGCTTTGAATATCTACAGTAAAACACAAATTATTGAATTAAAGATTAATTACCCTGTTGGACTGTACAAAGTCACAAGCTGGAAAAGGATATCAACCTCCAAAGGTGTAATCTGTCCAAATTTATTGGCAGCATGAGCAAACTCCTCTATATATCAAAAGAAAAACACAGATTAGAGATGCATTCTTCAGTACAATATCCTTAACTGTTTATGTTTAAGCATATATTGTCACTTCCAGTACAAAAGGAGGCACTGTGGAGGTTGAGTTTTCCAACTACGTTTAGTTCCACTATCTCCCATGTCTCAAGAGTTCCACTGAAGACAGCACAAAACATGTGGTTCCTTCTGACTGGCCCATTAATGGATAAAGCTGAAATCAGCATAGAGTGTATACAGCAACAAAGTATATTAGAACCAAAGAACCTGACTCCATATAGTGATTCCTCTGCATTTCTACATGTTCTATACCTTTCTTGATCTGTGCGACTCATCAATTCCTAGGGTCATGTAGTCGAGACATCAGGAAAGTGTAAAAGTTCCTATTTCGATTCAATCTTGGTATGCAAGTGTCATTAACAAGGATAACATGTATTGCCCACCTTCAGTTGACCTTAGTGACATGGCAATTAAGGGTCAACCACATTGGTGTAAGAATAGCATGACAAGTAGACCACATCAGGAGCGTCAGATTTTGTTGCCTAAAAGAACATCAGCAAATTAGCCTGAATAATCCAGAAGATTCATAGTCACTTTTATTCGTATCAGTTTTTAAATTTTCAAACTGTCATGGTGGAATCTAAACTTACCTTCTCTGAATTATTATTAGCCCAGTATTATCACAAGAAATCCATTAAGACCAGCAATCATACAACATGTGCTCTAAAAAAATGTCAGTCTAACTTGACAAAATCAAAAGCGATTCAAAGCTTTTTCTTTAAGAGCTTTTCTACTAAAACTAGATCAGTCATAGAGTTGTACAGCATGGAAACAGACCCTTTGGTCCAAATCAACCATGCTGACCAGATATCCTAAATTAATCTCGTTCCATTTGCCAGCATTTGACCCATATCCCTCTATACACTTTGTATTCATGTACCCACCCAGATGTCTTTTAAGTGTTGTAATAGTACCAGCCTACACAACTTCTGGAAGTTCACTCCACATAGACATCACCCACTCCATGACAAAGTTGCTCCTTAGGTTATTTTTAAATCTTTCCCCTCTCACCTTAAAGCTATGCCCTCTAGTTTTGGACTCCCCTACCATGGGGAAAAGAGCTTGGCTATTCACCCTATCCATGCCCCTCATCACATATAAACTTTTATAAAGTTACCCATCTGCCTCTGACACACCAGGGAAAATAGCTCCAGCCTATTCAGCCTCTCCCTATAGTCCAAACCCTCCAACCCTGGCAACATCCTTGTAAATCTTTTCTGAACGCTTTCAAGTTTCACAACATCATTCCTAAAGGAGGGAGACCAGAATTGCACGCAATACTCTAAAACTGGCCAAACTAATGCCTTGTACAGCTGCAGCATGACCTCCTAACTCCTCTGCTCAATGCACTGACCAATAAAGGCAAGCGTACCAAACACCTTCTTCATTATCCTGTCTAATCGCGGCTCCACTTCCAAGGAACAATGAACCTGCACTCCAAGGTTTCTTTGTTCAGCAACACTTCCCAGGACCTACCATTAAGGTGATTGAAAAGAGAAATTGGGCATTAGATACTATTTTGGGATCAGACAGGATTATTAACAGATGAAAGCTACAAATGGTCAATCACTGATGTTCCAATGATACGATTAACTGGGGATTATCAAGTGAAGTGACAAAAATTAGAAAAACAAGTTGTTTGATTGTACAAACTTTAAACATTGCTAAATATAGACATGAAGTAAAGGCCTTTTGCCTTGCACAATTCAAGTCCAAACACAAGAAAGCAACTTTAGAAAGTTAGCAATTTATACAGCAGTTACTGATTCGTTGATCTTTAAATGATATGGAGATACAGCAACGGACTATTTACTGTCATAGTTAACTTATTAAATTCAAACCAGAAAAAAAGACGACTCTGATTAGTCAAGCCTCTGCCAAGTGAACGCAAATTGGGATTGGTCAACTCCATAGTTCGCTCTTCAGTTGCCATGTATCGGAAAGAAGTTTAGATTCAAACTCATTGCATTCTAATTTCCTAGAACTTGGTTTTTTTGCTGTGGGTGGGAAAGCAAAAACAGAAGTAGATATTTTTACCTTTAGTAACCTGTACATCTTTTCTTGTGCCTGCTAAAGTGCTGTATATTTTCCGAATAAGTTCCATGTTATTCAGCAAGGAGTTAAATGCATTGAAGTAAGAAAAGCTGACTTGATGCGAGGTAGTTCCACCTGCTGCCTGTTTAATGAAACATCGCTACCATTAATTCCTTTTATAATATCTGCAAACAGAAAACAAGCGATCTACATACATAGGTCTTTTTGCACCACTTACAATATATATGATTTATAAAGTAAGGCATATTATACCGTTTAATACACAATGCATTATTTTGGCAAGATAGATGTGTTCTTTAAAAAGGAGCATAAACACTAACTTTTGTTTGGCATAAGTCATTTAGCTTAAAGGTGAAGCGCTTAGTGAAGAAACACTGGAATTTTAAAAATGCAGCTGAAATTCAAGGTGGGGATTGAAAGTGCAAGTGTGACAACCAGACTGTAATGCTTCATATGATGATTCTCAATATTATTAGCGTATTAGCCATTACTGATGGACACAGCTGTGATTTGCTTCATTTTACAGTAACATAACAGGGTCACTAAGTTGCACTGATTAAATAAATCAAGCAATACTACAGATATTTTAGGACTGTCACAAGGATTTTCAGACTTCAGTTAAATAATTATATGCACATTTGCATGAAAATCAAGTCCTCAGCCATGATTGTAATTAGGTGAAAAGAAACAGATCTGAGGGAGCTGTAATTGCATCACAATTGGTCATGCCCTCTACGATACAATTTACACAGCACTTAGCAATATCAGTCCGAAACTTTGACAAGCGTTTCCCCAACATTATTTAAAATAGTAAATCCTTTTCCAATCAAATACTGATAAATATTTAAAACATTTAGTTCAAAACTCACATAAACCCTAATAAAAACAAAAATTCTCAATCCCAACCAGTCCACTCAAGCTGTTTCTTTTCCATCAAAATAGTGAAAAAGTCCTTTCTCCAAGGCAATACAACCACGAGTCTCTCTCTCTCTCCAAAATGTGAACCACGATGCGGAGGTACCAGTGTTGGACTGGGGTGGACAAGGTCAGAAGTCACAACACCAGATTATAATCCAATAGGTTTATTTGAAATCACAAGCTTTTGAAGCACTGCTCCCTTGTCAGGTGAGGTCATCTGATAAATATTTAAAACACCTGGTGTCATGTGACTTCTGACTTTGTCCAAGATGTGAAAGTCACATTTCCAGCCAGTGCTGAGAAACTGCAGCAAGATTTCAAGAATTTTAAACTTCAGTATTGAAGAACTCTCAGCATTGAAGAACTGTCATCAAGTTCTATGGAACAAAGCTTTAGGGACTCTTGAACAAGATCCCCGAGCCAAATAATACAAGGCAGACAAGAGGGCCTACCAACTATCCAGCTGGAATCTCACCTGATAGGCTTCATTTGAAAAGCATAAAGCCTTTAGGGACTGTTTTAGTGTAACAAACCTAAAAAATGTGTGGACTGACAACATTTTAAATTTCTATGGTATTTCATGGGGTGAGTTAGAAGATACTTTGCAAAGAAAGTTGTAATTGTATTGTTTTGCAGCGAAACAACTAAAATGCTCACACTTGATGGAACAGCATTGAATATTGCTGAAATGACAAACCTGTTAAAGGATTTTGCCATGGACTCATCAGGACAAATACAAGGAAGTTCAAATTTTAAAGAATCAACTATTTATGCAAACCAGAAAAGGTATGGTGATTATTTAGCAAGTCAATTCTCATTGGCCAAGGCATTTTCCTGAAGAAAGCAACAGAATGCTTCTCAACACTCAAAGTTACATCAAGGAGAACACAGCCTGCTAGACTGGCATCAAATCCACACACATTCACTCCCTCTACCAGATGCTCACTATCTACTAGGTGTATTGCAGAAATTCACCAAGGATTCCTAGGCAGTACCTTCACAACCCATGGCCATTACCATCTAGAAGGATAACAGTTGCAGAAACATGGGAACGCCACCATCGCTTGCAAGTTTCTCTTCAAGTCATTCACCATCCTAACTTGAAAAATACACCATTCTTCCAGTGTCCCTGGTTTAAAACGCTGTAGTTCATTCCCTAGCAATACTGTGGATGTACGTACAGCAAATGGACTGCAAAGGATCAAGGTTTCAGCTCACCAGCACCTAATCCTAGCTGCCCTTGAGAAGATGGTGCTGAGCTGCCTTTTTGAACCACTGTAGTCCACATGCTGTAGGTTGACCCACAATGTCCTTAGGGAGGAAAATTCTAAAATGTTGACCCAATGACAGTGAAAGAATGGCAATATATTTCCAAGTCAGAATGGTGAGTGACTTGGAGGGAAACCTGGTGGTGGTCCCATTTATCAGCTTCCCTTGTCCTTTTAGATGGAAGTGGTCATGGGTTTGGAAGTGCAATCTGAGGATCTTTGTGAATTTCTGCAGTGCACCTTGTAGACAGTACAAGATGTACTGGATGGGAGTATTCCATCACACTCCTGACTTGTGCCTTTAGATAGTGGTCAGGCTTTGGGGAATCAAGGGGTGAGTTACTTGCTGCAATATCCTAGCCTCTAACCGGCTCTTGCAGCCACTGTGTTTGCGGTGAGTGGAGTTCAGTTTCTGGTCAATGGTAACTCCAAGAATGTTACAGTGGGTAATTCAGCAATACTAATACCATTGAATGTCAAGGGCTGGTGATTAGATCCTCCCTTATTGCAGATGCCTGGCATTTGTGTGGTGTGAAGGTTACTTGGCTAGGGAAGCAACAAGTTCTGGAGCACAACTCTTCAATACTATTGCTAGAATCAGCGCCCATAGCCTTTGCACTATTTAACTGTTTCTTGATATCATGTGGAGTGAATCAAACTGGTTGAAGAATGATGTCTGCAACGCTGGGGACCACTGGAGGAGGCCAAGATGGATCACGCACTGGTCACGCCTGGCTGAAGATTACAGTGAATACTTCAGCCTTATCTTTTGCATTATGTGCTACAATCTTCCATCATTGAGGATGGGGATATTTGTGAACCTCCTCCTCCAGTACGTTAACTTATTGTCCATCACCATTCATGACTTGATGTGGCAGCACTGTAGAGCTTAGATCTGATCCGTTAGTTGTGGGATCGCTTAGCCCTGTCTATCACTTGCTGCTTATGCTGTTGGGCACACAGGTGGTCCTATTTGGTAACTTTACCAAGTTGACAACTCACTTTTGGGTACATCTGGTGCTGCTCCTGGCACGCCCTCCTGCACTCTCCAATGAACCAAGATTGATCTCCTGGCTTAATGGTAATGGTTGAGTGGGGGATAGGGCGGGCCATGAGATTGTAGACCGTGCTGGAATACAATTCTGCTGCTGTTGACGGCCCACAGTGCCTTATGGATGCCCACTCTTGAGTTGCTAGGTCTAGTTGAAGTCTGTTCCATTTAACATGGTGATACAGCCACACAGCACGATTCAGGGTATTCTCAATGTGAAGGCAGGACTTTGTCTCCACAAGGACTGTGAGGGCGGTCACTCTTATGGATACTATCATGAACAGATGCATCTGCAGCCAGCAGATTGGTAATGATGGGATCAAGTATGTTTTTCCCTCATTTGTTCCTTCACCACCTGCCTCAGGCCAAATCTAACAGCTATGAACTTTAGTGCCCGACTAGCTTGATCAGTAGGGATGTTGCCAAACCACTCCCGGTGGTGGACATTCCCCACCCAGAGTGAATTTTGTGCCCTTGACACCTTCAGTGCTTCCTCCAAATGTTCTTCAACATGGAGGAGTACTGACTCATCAGCCGAGGGAGGACAGTATGTGATAACCAGCAGGAGGTTTCCTTGCCAATACTTAACCTAAAGCCATGAGACTTCATGGAGTCTGGAGTGAAAGGTTGAGGACTCCGAAGGCAACTCCCTCCCAACTGTACACTACTATGCTAACACTTCTGCTGGGTGGGACAGGACATATCCAGAGATAGTGAAGGTGATGTCTGGGACAAAGCCGTACTCATGGAATCATACCTGACAACGTCAGGCTGTTGCTCGACTAGTCTGTGAGACAGCTCACCAAATTTTGGCACTAGTCCCCAAACATTAGTAAGGAGGACTTTGCAGCGTTGACAGGGCCGTTTTTACCATTGTCTTCTCTGATGCCTAAAAGCCATGTGGTGCCTCTAATTTCATTATTGTTTGCTGTAGTAACAACTAATTTAAGATAATCAGTTGAGCCCATAACAAGGCTCATATACTAACTATTAAGTCTTTTGTAAATTTCTTTTGTGTATTTAGACTCTGAAGTCCCCCAGCAAGAGTACATTTCATATCCTTGCTCCCTCAATGACTCTTCTGTATGGCGTTCAACACTAACAAGTACTGGTTCACACGCTGTGGTAAGGCAGTACACGGTAATTAGCAGGTTTTCTTGCCCAGGTCTGACTGATGTCAGCAAAGTTCAGGACTCCCAGAACTACCTCCTGCCAATTCTACAATAGTGTGCTGCCACTTATGGTCTGACCTGGGACAAGGCTTAGGTTGGTGATGCAGCAGCTATGATTCTTCTGAATGGCAGAGCAGCCTCGATGAGCCAAAGCATTTACTTCAATTCCTGTCTCTGAGGTTATGCTCTTATTAAACCACAAATGGAAGAGGCTTCATAAGACCATAAGACATAGACATAGAAGGTGACCACTCAGTCCATCATTTCTTCATCATTTGAGATTAAAGCGGTTTTGAAAACCTCAACTTCACTTTGCTGCCTTTTCCCACAACATTTGATCCCCTTACTGATTTAAAACCTGTCTCTCAGACTTGAATATACTTAACGACAGCCCTCTACAGTAAAGAATTCCACAGATTCAGTACCCTCAGAGATGAAATTCTTCCTTATCTCTCCATGAAATGGGTGACACCTTATTTTGAGACTATGCCTCAGGTCGTCTCACAATGGGAAACAACTTCTCCACATCTACTCTGTCAAATCCCCTAAGAATCTTATATGTTTCAATATGGTTGCCTCTCATTTTTCTAAATTCCAATGAGTACAGGACCAATCTACTCAGCCTGCCATCATAAAACAGTCCCTGCACACCCAGGATTAATGCAGTGAAACATTTCTGGACTGCCACCAATGCCAGAATATATTTCGTTAG